ACACTGGGATAGGGGCACGCCGTTGGGGAGAGACCCCTGGGGGCCCTTGCTGCAGTGTGGGGCCCCCGAGCCCCCAGTCAATGGAGATGGGGGCTGGACGTGCCCCTCTTTGTGGGTACGGATGGATCACACTGGGCTCCCCCTCCACTTTGGGACTGGGGCCCAGCAAGGGAAGGGCCCAGAGGGCCAGTTGGCGTTGGTTGGAAGACAACTCTCCCTCCTTCCTTCCTTCCTTCCTTCCCTCCCTTTTCTTTCTGTGCTCCATGTGCAATCTCTTCGTTCTGAATGTCAATCACCCAGTTAACCACCTTTATAACCGGTCACCACCGTAGCTGACCCGTCTCCCGCCCATCTCTCCATCCATCCAAGTGACTTTGATTCAAGTGCAATACTTCGATAGCTATCTCTCTCTCTCTCGTGAGCTTGTCCATAGGCTTTCTGTTCTAGGGAATACTCTTCTTACTTATTCTTCTCCTTCTTCTTCTTACGTGTGCAAAGCGCCGCCAATACGTTCCCTCCCTGTAAATAAACCGGGTTGCACATCCAAAGGAACGCGCATCCAGCTTGCCTTTACTTTGTGTGAGTGTTTCCGTGGCCTGCCTCCTGGGCTGCCTGGGTACTGACCCCCCCTTGACCCCCTCCCCCCCCGAGACCCCCGCCCTTTGCCCCACGCTGTTCTCTGTGCCCATAGATATATCTCCAAGGGGCCGCCGCGGCTCCTCCTTTGATTGCTTGTGTTGACGCTTCTACTGTATTTTATTTTATTTTTTAGACTCCTGTCTGCACAAAATGCAATAAAAGGATTTTATTACACCCTTCACTTGCTGGACACGCCTGGTTTTTGTCCTGAGAAAGTGACCACACGGGCTGTGGCCTCTAACCAACGAGGCATGGCTTATGGGCTAATCAAGGGAAAGGGGTGGCTTCCTTGGGGCAGAATTGTTAGTGTTATTAGGGGAATTCCAGACAAGAAACAATCAGGGCCAGCCAATCACCTCCCAACAAAGGATTCCCCCAGGCAAGAAGCAGCCAAGCCTTGAAGCTGCAAGCATATTCAGTGTTAATCAAGGTGATCAATTGTATTGTCGCAGGCTTCCATGGCTGGAATCACTAGGCTGTTGTAGGTTTTTCAGGCTATATGTCCTGAGAAAGTGACCGCAAGAGCTGTGGCCTTTAACCCACGAGGCATGGCTTATGGGTCTTTCCCTGACCAATGACCTGGGGAAAGGGTGGCTTCCTTGGGGCAGAATTGTTAGTGTTATTAGGGGGATTCCAGACAAGAAACAATCAGGGCCAGCTAATCACCTCCCAACAAAGGATTCCCCCAAGCAGGAAGCAGCCAAGCCTTGAAGCTGCAAGGCTATTCAGTGCTAATCAAGGTGATCAATTGTATTGTCTCAGGCTTCCATGGCTGGAATCACTAGGCTGTTGTAGGTTTTTCGGGCTATATGTCCTGAGAAAGTGACCACAAGAGCTGTGGCCTTTAACCTACGAGGCATGGCTTATGGGCCTTTCCCTGACTGATGGCCTGGGGAAAGGGTGGCTTCCTTGGGGCAGAATTGTTAGTGTTCTTAGGGGAATTCCAGACAAGAAACAATCAGGGCCAGCCAATCACCTCCCAACAAAGGATTCCCCCAGGCAAGAAGCAGCCAAGCCTTGAAGCTGCAAGCATATTCAGTGTTAATCAAGGCAATCAATTACAGCATTCCCACTTGCCTCCAACAGACAAGAGTCCTTTCTTCCTCCCACCCTGGACATCATTCCACAGAAATATCAACCCCACTTGCCTAGTTTCCAACAGGTCTCACAACCTCTGAGGGTGCCTGCCATAGCTGTGGGCGAAACGTCAGGGGGGAATGCTTCTGGAACATGGCCAGAGAGCCCGGAAAACTCACAGCAACCCATTATTAGGTTTATTTATACCCTGTTCTTTCTCTCAAAGTGGAAGTTGCAAATGCTGGAAGCCAGAGCAAGGCAGTGAAAGGGATGCTCAGAGTGTTATTGGAGGCTGTCATGGCCGGAATCACTGGGTTGTTGTGATTGTTTTGGGCTGTATGGCCGTGTTCCAGTAGCATTCTCTCCTGATGTTTCGCCTGCATCTGTGGCTAATGGCATCTTCAGAGGCGTGGAATGATGTCCAGGGTGGGAGAAAGAACCCTTGCCTGTTCAGAGCAAGTGTGAATGTTGCAATTCGAATGTGCAGGTACGGCCACTGACGGACTTTGCAGCTACGTGGCTACTCCATGCTATTCAAGCTTGCTCACTGCAACATTCACACGTGCTTTAAACAGACAAGGGTTGTATCTCCCACCTTGGACATTATTCCACAGATATATATATAGATACACTCCACTTGCCACACTTCCAACAGACCTCTGAAGATGCCATTAGCCACAGAGGCGAAGCATCAAGAGAATGCTGCTGGAATATGGACAGACAGTCCAAAAAACTCACAGCAACTCAGCGAAAGGGATGTCAGAGTCTTTGCAGACAACAAGCTGAATGCAGCGGCTAAAAATGCCAAGGTGATTCTAGGCTGCGTCAAGAGAAGGACAGTCTTCCTATGCAGGGAAGTAAAGCCCTCTTCACATGGAATCACTGTGCCCAGTTCCGGGCAAAAAGGAGCCTCCAAACAAAACTATAACATAAACTGTGTGAAAGCACTGAATATAAACCACACAAAGAAATTACAAGTCTGAGTGCTACTTGGTTATCTCGTAGTTCTTGAAAACGTCTCCAAAATGAAGTCTAAGTAGTTCAAATTACTGTCCAATTCAAAACATTATCCAAATTATAATGCTTGCTGTCCAGTTCAAAGTATTGTCCAAATATTAATGCTTATCCAAATTATAATGCGACAAGGATCCCCGGGTTGAGGTTGCCTTGTTTCGGGCAACATCCCCTTCTGTTACAAAGAAGACAAAATCCTGAAGAACTGGACAATAATTTGAACTATTTGCACTTTATTTGGACTGCATTTTGAAGACGTTTTCAAGGACTACGAGTTAACCAAGTAGCACTCAGACTTGTAATTTCTTTGTGTGGTTTATATTCAATGTTTTCACACAGTTTATGTTAACATAGTTTTGTTTGGATAACAATTTGCAACTTGTATTTTGTTATTGTTATAGATATCTGTGTTTCCTTGACAAAAAGGAGCTTCCACCACATTTCTGGCTAGAGAGTTCCACTGGTGAACAGTTCTCACAGTTATGAAGTTCTTCCTAACATTCAGGAAGAACTTCCTAACTATGAGAGCTGATCAGCAGTGGAACTCTCTGCCCCTTGTGGAGTGTGGTGGAGGCTCCTTCTTTGGAAGCTTTTAAACAGGCTGGATGGCCATCTGTCAGGGGTGATTTGAATGCAATTGTTCTGCTTCTTGGCAGAATGGGGTTGGACTGGTTGGCCCACCAGGTCTCTTCCAACTTTGTGATTCTATGAAAACACCTCAAGAAAGAGTGTTGGGTGTCCGGAGAAGGGCCACCCACGTGGTCAAAGCCACGGAAGCCTGTCTCCCTCTGAGGAGCTGCTGAGGGAGCTCGAAGGGATGCGGAGCATGGAGGAGAGCAGCAAACAGGAGATGCACCAAGTTTGAGTATTTGAAAGGAGGTTGTGCCAAAGAGGGGCACGCCTGTTCCTTCCTCCTCCAAAGAGAAGGACACAATGTGAGGAGGGGGTGGCTCTGTTGCCTTCCAGAAAGAGAAAGAGCCTGAGGCTCCCTAAGAGTCCCAGGGAGGAGGGAGCAGGCTTCCTTTCTGCTTCTCTGGAGAGAGACTAGGACGCAATGGAACATGGCTTCAAACTACAAGAGAGGAGATTCCATCTGAACATGAGGAAGAACCTCCTGACTGTGAGAGCCGTTCAGCAGTGGAACTCTCTGCCCCGGAGTGTGGTGGAGGCTCCTTCTTTGGAAGCTTTTAAACAGAGGCTGGATGGCCATCTGTCAGGGGTGATTTGAATGCAATATTCCTGCTTCTTGGCAGAATGGGGTTGGACTGGATGGCCCATGAGGTCTCTTCCAACTCATTGATTCTATGATTCTATGATTCTATGAGTCATCTTCTACTGGAAGCTGACCATAAATAGAATCATAGAATCAAAGAGTTGGAAGAGACCTCCTGGGCCATCATCCAGTCCAACCCCATTCTGCCAAGAAGCAGGAATATTGCATTCAAATCACCCCTGGCAGATGGCCATCCAGCCTCTGTTTAAAAGCCATGACTCCCTCTGAGGAGCTGCTGAGGGAGCTTGAAGGGATGCAAAACTTGGAGGAGAGCAGCAAACATGAGACACAAAGTTTTAAAGTGTGTCGTCCTATTGATAATGCTTATGTATTGTTTACTGTTTTGTTGTTTTTAAATTGCTTGTATTGTTATTGTGTGTATTGTTGTATTTTGGGCTTGGCCTTATGTAAGCCGCACCGAGTCCCCTTGGGAGATGGTAAAAAAAGCACCCAGAAAAGAAGCACCCTTACCTTCCTGCAGAAGGTATTGATCTACTCACACTTGCATGTTTTCGAACTGCTAGGTTGGCAGAAACTGGGGCTAACAGCGGGAGCTCACCACACTCCCCTGATTCGAACCGCCAGCCTTTTGGTCAGCAAGCTCAGTAGCTCAGCAGTTTAACAACCAGAGGAGTTTGGGGGTGAGGAAAATAATATTTATTATTATATTATTATATATATTATTATATTATTATGTTATATATCATTAGTAGTGCCACCTCTACAAAGTTCTGGAGAGACTTATTTTGCATAGAATTATGGAAAAAATAGACCCATGTCTGATTCCACAGCAATCTGGCTTCAGAAAAGAAGCAAGTGCTGAACCAAACTCCTCCGGTTGTTAAACTGCTGAGCTACTGAGCTTGCTGACCAAAAGGCTGGCGGTTCGAATCAGGGGAGTGTGGTGAGCTCCCGCTGTTAGCCCCAGTTTCTGCCAACCTAGCAGTTCGAAAACATGCAAGTGTGAGTAGATCAATACCTTCTGACATTAAGTCCAGTCATGTCTGACTCTGAGACTCTGGTGCTCATCTCCATTTCTAAGCCGAAGAGCCAGCGTTGTCCATAGACACCTCCAAGGTCATGTGGCCAGCATGACCGCATGGAGCACCGTTACCTTCCCGCCGGAGCGGTACCTATTGATCTACTCACATTTGCATGTTTTTGAACTGCTAGGTTGGCAGAAGCTAGGGCTGACAGCGGAAGCTCACGCCGCTCCCTGGAATCGAACCTGCGACCTTTCGGTCAACAAGCTCAGCAGCTCAGCGCTTTAACCCACTGCGCCACCGGGAGCTCCTTGGGGAGATGGTAGCGGGGTATAAATTAAGTATTATTGTTATTATTTGAGTATTTGAAAGGCGGTTGCGCCAAAGGGGGGCAAGTGTGTTGCTTGCTGCTCCAAAGAGCAGGACACAATTTGAGGAGGGGGGGGGGGGTTTGCCTCTGCTGCCTTCCAGAAAGAGAAAGGGCCTGGGGGGTCCCTAAGACCCAATGCAGGGGCTTTGCTGCACCCCATTACGAAAGCACGAGGCGCCTTGTGCGCGTTGCCCTCCTTTCCGGCACATAAACAAGCCTGGCAAGCGCCTTGAGAGAGAGGCAGGGCTTGCAAAAATAGCAAAATCAATGCGAGGCTCCTCACAGAAGAGCTCCTAAAAACAGCTCCCACGCTTGAGAGACGGCTGGCTGCTCGCTCTCCTAATCCCCCCCCAAATTTAACCTCAACTTAGTTTGGCGAGAACAGACTATGAATGTTACGTAAGGGGGCAAAGGAGTGCATCAGGAGTTTGGAGTTGACGCTGATGTGTTTTTTTTTAAGTGGCTCCCGCTTGACTCGTCTATTATTCATTCCAAGGCATCTGGACCTTTGCAGGCGAGTGAGCAGAAAACAAGGGGCGGAGAAAGGGGGTCACCGCGAGGGGCTTTCCATCTCCCTCTCCCCTACAGCCACTATTCTCAGGAAGAGGGTCACTGCCCCAAAACCAGGCTCAAGTGGCCAAAGGTGAAGCTGGTGGACAATGGGTGCGGACAGGCGAAACGCGTCCGATGCAAAGAGAGCACGCTTGCACCAATTCAACTGGGCCAGAGCGAAGACAGGGGAGGCCAGGGGACAGCACCATCTTGTCTCCTGTGCTATTCTAATAATATGATATGATCAAGGGTCTGGAGAACAAGCCCTATGAGGAGCGGCTTAGGGAACTGGGCATGTTTAGCCTGAAGAAGAGAAGGCTGAGAGGAGATATGATAGCCATGTATAAATATGTGAGAGGAAGTCACAGGGAGGAGGAGGGAGCAAGCTTCCTTTCTGCTTCCCTGGAGACTAGGACGCAATGGGACAATGGCTTCAAACTACAAGAGAGGAGATTCCACCTGAACATGAGGAAGAACTTCCTGACTGTGAGAGCCGTTCAGCAGTGGAACTCTCTGCCCCGGAGTGTGGTGGAGTCTCCTTCTTTGGAAGCTTTTAAGCAGAGGCTGGATGGCCATTTGTCAGGGGTGATTTCAATGCAATACTCCTGCTTCTTGGCAGAATGGGGTTGGACGGGATGATGGCCCACGAGGTCTCTTCCAACTCTTGGATTCTAGGATTGATTCTATGATTCTAAAACTTGCTGATTCCATCAGTTCCAGACAGATGTTGGCATTCTTTCCTTATGTGATGTTGGTTTTCCTTCTTAATGTAAGTAAACATTGTGTTGACGTAACTTAAAGAATCATTGCCTTTGGTAATGTAAACATGTTGTTTTCCACCACAGAGTTAATCATTTGTCCCTGGTCATCAATGTCAACAGTTCTCATCAGCAACTTTTAATTACAGTTCATGAATTCAGTAACTTCCTTGCTTAAAAGAGATATTGTCTTTGATCATGTAAACATGAACATAAGCTACAAGAGAGGAGATTCCACCTGAACATGAGGAAGAACTTCCTGACTGTGAGAGCCGTTCAGCAGTGGAACTCTCTGCCCCGGAGGGAGTGTGGTGGAGGTCCTTCTTTGGAAGCTTTTAAGCAGAGGCTGGATGGCCATCTGTCAGGGGTGATTTGAATGCAATATTCCTGCTTCTTGGCAGAATGGGGTGGGACTGGATGATGGTCCATGAGCTCTCTTCCAACTCTAGGATTCTAGAATTCTATGATTCTATGATATGATATGATATAATCTATATAAATAAAAATGTCATGTTCATTTGTGGAATTAGCAGAACTCAAAAACCACCGGGCGAATTGACAGCAAATTTGGACACAAGGCACCTAACAACCCAATGTATGTCCTTCACTCAAAAAAAAAAATACACCCAAATTTGAATATTGGTGGGGTTGGGGGTGATTTTGTGATTTGGGAGTTGTAGTTGCTGGGATTTATAGTTCGCCTACAATCAAAGAGCATTCTGAACCCCACCAACGATGGAATTGAACCAAACTTGGCACACAGTTCTCCCATGACCAACAGAAAATACTGGAAGGGTTTGGTGGGCAGTGTCCTTTGGTTTTGGAGTTGTAGTTCACCTACATCCAGAGATCACTGTGGACTCAAACAATGATGGATCTGGACCAAACTCTACATGAATACTCAATATGCCCAAATGTGAACACTGGTGGAGTTTGGGGGAAATAGAATCTTGACATTTGGGAGTTGTAGTTGATGGGATTTGTAGTTCACCTACAATCAAAGAGCATTCTGAACCCCACCAACGATGGAAGTGAACCAAACTTGGCACACAGTTCTCCCATGACCAAGGGTTTGGTGGGCAGTGTCCTTTGGTTTTGGAGTTGTAGTTCACCTCCATCCAGAGAGCACTGTGGACTCAAATGATGATGAATCTGGACCAAACTCTACATGAATACTCAATCTGCCCAAATGTGAACACTGGTGGAGTTTGGGGGAAATAGAATCTTGACACTTGGGAGTTGTAGTTGCTGGGATTTATAGTTCACCTACAATCACAGAGCATTCTGAATCCCACCAACGATAGAATTGGGCCAAACCTCCCACACAGAACCCCCATGTGGGCCACAGCAACGCATGGCAGGGGATGGCTAGTATAATATAATATATATTGTATATACATATAATATTTATAATATTATAATGTAATGCATTATAATACTACTACTAATAATATGATCTTATGTCAGGTTTTACAATGTATTGCAATGTAATATAGCTGAATCATGCACTGCTAATGGGCTTCTATTGGGAATGCGGAGTCATGCATTGATTGTATACGGGGAATGTGTTCTGGCCTAGTCCAGGTGACTGTGAATGATGCAATTGAGTCAATGAGTTGGGAACCAATCGGTGATTGCTATGTGTAAATGAATTGTATATAAGGAAGTCGTATACAGTGTATATTTCTCCTTGTGCTGTGATGTTGTTCGTTGAAGGCTATATGTAATTAAAGAACCTGTCTACTAAGACAAGATATAACTGTGTGCTGTGGTAAGTTTGTAATGTCATCTAGACTGGGGGAAAGACAATGGTAAAACTGACAATGGCCGGGCATGTGCTCAAGTGTCTGTAAAAGGTTCCAGAGTGACTGCAGGCTGTGGGAGCAGTTGACTGAAAATACTGTGCAGGAAGAAGCTAATGGAAAGCGCTGAAGTTGTGCAACTGATCTGCTGCTGAATTGTGAAGTTAATCTCAACACATAATAAGTAAAACAATAACATTAGATTAAAAACCATTTATAATGGTATAGTACAATATAGTAATATACAATACTGATATTGTACTATGCTAATAATATAATATATTGTATGTATATATATACCTTGTAAGCCGCTCTGAGTCCCCTTCGGGGTGAGAAGGGCGGCATATCAATGTCGTAAATAAACAAACAAACAAATTCAGAACCACGTGCCCCTCTCTCTATATATATATACACGTTCTTTTGTTTTTATTTAAAAAGGTGAAGTCCTCTTCATAACTGGACAGAGGTTTGATCTACATGACCAAAACAAACAGAAACAAAAACCCAGAAACCATTCGGGAACGGAAGAGCCACAGTCCCAGGAAAACAAGGCTAAACAACAAAACTCACGAGGAACGGCCTCTCCTCCAAGGGCCGCAAGGAAGCCGTGCCGGGCACCCCAAAACGCCGGCTTTGTATGTGTGGTCAGCACCAGCCCTTCCAGGGAGCAACTGGGGGCAGGAGATCATATTCCGATTTGCAGGAAGCCCTCAGAGCCCCTTGCGTCCAGACACTGAAGGGATGGGGGGAGGGGACGACCCCCCAAGATGGGCTGGGCAATGGGAGGCAGGGGAAGGCGGGCGTGACCCTTGCGACGGGCAGGAGAGGAGGAAAGGGCCGGGCACTAGTAATGCCTCGGGTAGGCGCCCATAGCGGGCTGGCTGGGGGCCATGGCCCGGGCCTGGCTGACCGTCTGGCCGACCAGGTGCGAGAGGGCGGGGCCGCTCTGGATGAGGGTGTCGAGGGCCTTCTGCACGCTGGGGTTGTCGAAGTTGATCCCGGAGGAGGTGGGGGCGGGGCGGGTGGAGGCCGCGTTCCCGGGGGGCGGGCCCCGGTTCTGCTGGTACATGGGCTGGGGGGGCTGCTGCGGGGCCGGGCCACGGGGGCCGGGGCCGCGGGCGGGGCCCTGGTGGCCTTGGAACTGCTGGGGCCCCGGGGCCACGGAGCGCTGCTGCGAGGAGGGCATCCCCGCGCCCGAGCCGCCCAGCGCGGCCGCCGAGTGGTTCTGGGAGGGGGGCCCCTGGGGAGCAAAGCCGGCGCTCTGGGGGGGCCCCAGGCTGGAGCCGCTGTTGGTGGTGACCGCCGCCCCGCTGTTGAAGAGGCTGAGGATCTTGGCCTGGAGCTCCTGCTGGGGGTTGGGCGCCAGGGCGCTGGAGCCGGAGGGAGGCAAGGGCTGACCGCTCGGGTGGGACGGAGCGCTGGGCAGCGCCGCCAGGGAGGAGGCCGAGGGGGCGCCCAGGGCCGGGCGGGGGTGCGGAGCTGCGCAGAGAGACAAAGAGAGAGAGAGAAGGGGGGAGAGGGGTCAGGATCAAGCCCACACCACGCGAGAACTGAGTCCAGAGGAGCAGAGTTGGTACCGCCAGGGCTTTGGGGGAATGGGCTCAGGCGAAAATCCCAAGAAAAGCAAAGACTTCAACTCCCATAATTCCATGGCCATCTGTCAAGGGTGCTTTGAAGGTGCTTTCCTCCATGGCAGGGGGGTGGACTGAATGACCCCCAGGGTCTCTCTCAACTCTATATATACAATTCTATAATAATAAGAGTAGTAGTCGTTGTCCTAATAATAATAATAATGCAGAGACTGGATGGCCATCTGTCGGGGGAGCTTTGAAGGTGCTTTTCCTCCATGGCAGGGGGTTGGACTGAATGACCCCCAGGGTCTCTCTCAACTCTATGTATACACAATTCTATAATAATAAAAGTTGTTGTACTACTAATAATAATAATGCAGAGGCTGGATGGTCATCTGTCGGGGGAGCTTTGAAGGTGCTTTTCTTCCATGGCAGGAGGTTGGACTGAATGACCCCCAGGGTCTCTCTCAACTCTATGGATATATAATTCTATAATAGTAACAGTAGTAGTAGTCGTAATAATAATAATAATAATAATAATAATAATAATAATAATAATAACAACGCAGAGGCTGGATGGCCATCTGTCGGGGGACTCTGATGGTGCTTTTCTGCATGAAAACAAAATGGGGTTCGACTGGATGGCCTTTAGAGGTCACTTCCAACTGTAAGATTCTATGACACTATGGTCCATCTAGACCAGGCATGGGCAAACTTTAGCCCTCTGACTTTGGCCATCTGTTGGGGGAGCTTTGAAGGTGCTTTTCCTCCATGGCAGGGGGTGGTACTGAATGACCCCCAGGGTCTCTCTCAACTCTATGTATACACAATTCTATAATAATAAAAGAAGTCGTAATAATAATAATAATAATAATAATAATAATAATAACAACAACAACAATGCAGAGTCTGGATGGCCATCTGTTGGGGGGGTTCTGATGGTGCTTTTCTGCATGAAAGCAGAAGGAGGTTCGACTGGATGGCCGAACTTCCAACTGTATGATTCTATGACACTATGGTGCATCTAGACCAGGAATGGGCAAACTTTGGTCCTCCGGGTGCTTTGGACTTCAACTTCCAGAATTGGAGGGCCATCTGTCAGGGGTGCTTTGAAGGTGCTTTTCTACCATGGCAGGGGGCTGGACTGAATGACCCTCAGGGTCTCTCTCAACTCTATATATACAATTCTATAATAATAAGAGTAGTAGTCGTTGTCCTAATAATAATAATAATGCAGAGGCTGGATGGCCATCTGTCGGGGGAGCTTTGAAGGTGCTTTTCCTCCATGGCAGAAGGTTGGACGGAATGACCCCCAGGGTCTCTCTCAACTCTCTCTATATATACAATTCTATAATAATAAGAGTAGTAGTCCTCGTCCTAATAACAATAATAATGCAGAGGCTGGATGGCCATCTGTCAGGGGGCTCTGATGGTGCTTTTCTGCATTAAAGCAGAAGGGGGTTCAACTGGATGGCCTTTAGAGGTCACTTCCAACTGTAAGATTCTATGACACTATGGTCCATCTAGACCAGGCATGGGCAAACTTTAGCCCTCTGACTTTGGCCATCTGTTGGGGGTGCTTTGAAGGTGCTTTTCCTCCATGGCAGGGGGTGGGACTGAATGACCCCCAGGGTCTCTCAACTCTATGTATATACAATTCTAGAATAATAAGAGTAGTAGTAGTAGTCATACTAATAATAATAATGCAGAGTCTGGATGGCCATCTGTCGGGGGGCTCTGATGGTGCTTTTCTGCATGAAAGCAGAAGGGGGTTCGACTGGATGGCCTTTAGAGGTCACTTCCAACTGTAAAATTCTATGACACTATGACGCATTAGACCTGGCATGGGCAAACTTGGGCCCTCCCAGTGTTTTGGACTTCAGCTCCCAGAATTGGATGGCCATCTGTCAGGGGTGCTTTGAAGGTGCTTTTCCTCCATGGCAGGGGGTTGGACTGAATGACCCTCGGGATCTCTCTCAAGTCAATGTATGTATAATTCTATAACAATAAGAGTTGTAGTAGTAAAAGTAAAGGAAAAAGCTTTCCCTGACATTAAGTCTTGTCATGTACAATTCATCTCCATTTCTAAGCTGAAGAGCCGGCATTGTCCACAGACGCCTCCAAGATCACGTGGCCACTGGCATGACTGCATGGAGTGCCGTTACCTTCCTGCAGAATCAGTACCTATTGATCTACTGACATTTGCATCCCCACTACCTCTTTTTAGACTGCGTTTGGATGATCTCGTGGGTTAAGTTAGGTTTTAATAACTACTTGTATTGGTTTTTAGCTCAGATTTTAAAATTTGTTGACGTTTGAAGTATATAACCCCTTGGGTTTGATCTGGATGTATGGGACTGGGTCCCCGTGTTATGATCTGGTCATCGACCGTAATAAAGTTTACTTACTTACTTACTTACTAACATTTGCATGTTTTTAAACTGCTAGGCTGGCAGAAGCTGGAGCTAACAGCGGGAGATCATGCCACTCCCTGTATTCGAACCTGCGACCTTTCAGTAAGCAAGTTCAGCAGCTCAGCGGTTTAACTCACTGAGCCACTAGGGGGGCCAGTAGTAGTAGTAGTAGTAGTAGTAGTAGTAGTAGTAGTAATAAGAAAAAAAAGAGGCTGGATGGCCATCTGTCAAGGGGTTTCCTGCATGAAAGCAGAAGGGGGTTGGACTGGATGGCCTTTAGAGGTCCCTTCAAACTGTAAGATTCTATGACACTATGATGCCTCTAGACTAGGAATGGGCAAACTTTGGCCCAGCGGGTGCTTTGGACTTCAACTCCCAGAATTGGAGGGCCATCTGTCGGGGGTGCTTTGAAGGTACTTTTCCTCCATGGCAGGGGGTTGGACTGAATGACCCTCGGGATCTCTCTCAACTCGATGTATCTATAATTCTATAATAATAAGAGCAATACTACTACTACTACTACTACTACTACTACTACTACTAATAATAATAATAATAGAAAAACAGAGGCTGGATGGCCACTTGTCAAGGGGTTCTGATGGTGCTTTTCTGCATGAAAGCAGAAGGGGGTTGGACTGGATGACCTTTAGAGGTCCCTTCTAACTGTAAGATTCTATGACACTATGATGCATCTAGACCAGGAATGGGCAAATTTTGACCCTCCAGGTGCTTTGGATGGCCATCTGTTGAGGATGCTTTAAAGGTGCTTTTCCTCCATGGCAGGGGGTTGGACTAAATGACCCTTGGGATCTCTCTCAACTCGATGTCTCTATAATTCTATAATAATAAGAGAGAAATACTAATAATAATAATAATAATAATAATAATAATAATAATAATAGAAAAACAGAGGCTGGATGGCCACTTGTCAAGGGGTTCTGATGGGGCTTTTCTGCATGAAAGCAGAAGGGGGTTGGACTGGATGACCTTTAGAGGTCCCTTCTAACTGTAAGATTCTATGACACTATGATGCATCTAGACCAGGAATGGGCAAATTTTGACCCTCCAGGTGCTTTGGATGGCCATCTGTTGAGGATGCTTTAAAGGTGCTTTTCCTCCATGGCAGGGGGTTGGACTAAATGACCCTTGGGATCTCTCTCAACTCGATGTCTCTATAATTCTATAATAATAAGAGAGAAATACTAATAATAATAATAATAATAATAATAATAATAATAGAAAAACAGAGGCTGGATGGCCATCTGTCAAGGGGTTCTGATGGTGCTTTTCTGCATGAAAGCAGAAGGGGGTTGGACTGGATGGCCTTTAGAGGTTCCTTCGAATTGTAAGATTCTATGACATTATGATGCCTCTAGACCAGGCATGGGCAAACTTGGGCCTTCCAGGTGTTTGGGACTTCAACTCCCACAATTCCTAACAGCCGGTAGGAACCTAAACATTGGGAACCTAAACAATGTTCAACCTAAACATTGGGAGCAACTTCCTGGCCACCAAAGCTGTTCAACGACAGGTTTTCGAGTTTTGCAAAGAGAGGATCGATCTGGCCATTTGTCAGGAGAGCGTGGCAGAAGGGGGTTGGACTGGATGGCCCCTTGGGTAGCGATTCCACGCCCCCTCCCCCCCCCCCCCGATCCGACCCTTGGGGCTGGGACTTGCCTGGGAGGGCGTCTCCGCTGGCCCGCAGCTGCCGCTCCTTGCGCTCCCGCAGGTAGTTGATGATCTTGTCGGTCTCCTCGGCCGTCAGGTAGCGGTTGTCGGCCAGCAGGTTGAGCAGGGCCTGGATGCTGGGGGGGTGTCCCCCGCGGAGCCCCTCCTCGGAGGACGGAGGGGGCCGCTCCCGCTCCTGCAGGATGGTCTCGTCGGCCATCTTGGCGGCCTGCCGGGCGATCTCCTCGCGCTCCTTCTCCCGCACCTCCACCTTGTAGCGCTCGTAGTTCTTCGCCACCAGCACCATGGCGTCCGCCTGAGGCATGTTGCGGTGCTCTGCGGCGGGAGAGAATCATAGAATCAAAGAGTTGGAAGAGACCTCATGGGCCATCCAGTCCAACCCCATTCTGCCAAGAAGCAGGAATATTGCATTCAAAGCACCCCTGACAGATGGCCATCCAGCCTCTGTTTAAAGCTTCCAAAGAAGGAGCCTCCACCACACTCCCTCCGGGGCAGAGAGTTCCACTGCTGAACAGCTCTCTCACAGTCAGGAAGTTCTTCCTCATGTTCAGGTGGAATCTCCTCTCTTGTAGTTTGAAGCCATTGTTCCATTGCGTCCTAGTCTCCAGGGAAGCAGAAAGGAAGCTTGCTCCCTCCTCCCTGTGGCTTCCTCTCACATATTTATTACATGGCTATCATATCTCCTCTCAGCCTTCTCTTCTTCAGGCTAAACATGCCCAGCTCCTTAAGCCGCTCCTCATAGGGCTTGTTCTCAAGACCTTTTATCATTTTAGTCGCCCTCCTCTGGACACATTCCAGCTTGTCAATATCTCTCTCTTGAATTGTGGTGCCCAGAATTGGACACAATATTCCAGGTGTGGTCTAACCAAAGCAGAATAGAGCATGGGGAGCATGACTTCCTTAGATCTAGACACTAGGCTCCTCTTGATGCAGGCCAAAATCCCATTGGCTTTTTTTGCCGCCACATCACATTCCTGGCTCATGTTTAACTTGTTGTCCATGAGGACTCCAAGATCTTTTTCACACCTACTGCTCTCGAGCCAGGCCTCATCGTCCCCCAATCTGTATCTTTGCAGAAAGGGTCAGCCAGGATGCACAGGGCCAGGCCCACGCCTGACGTGCTCTCAACTATGATTATAATAAAATAATAAAACTTTATTTATACTCGGGGCAGCTTACATGAGGCCACGCCCATCAACACAATAAACACAGTATTACACCGGGATTGTGGTGCAGCTGGCTCAGTGTCAGCTGCATTAAAGATCATGAGTTTGAAGCCAGCCCGGGTTGGAGTGGGTTTCCAACCAATTGCGTGTAGCCTGTTGTCAACCTTTGCAACCCGAAAGTCAGTTGCATATGTCAAGTAGGAAAATAAGGTACCACATTAAAGTGTGGGGAGGCTAAATTAACTAATTTATGAGGCCATAAAGACTTCAGCAAAAGCATGCGGGGAATACGGAAGTGCTTCATCAGCGTCGCAGATGGACGATGAAAGCGACAGCTCCCCTGGCGGCCAGAAAAAAGTTAAATAAATAACCTCTGTGTATGTCTGTATATGTTTGTATGTCAAAATTGGCATTGAATGTTTGCCATATACGCGTGCACACTTTAATCCGCCCTGAGTCCCCTGCGGGGTGAGGGGAAGGGCGGAATATAAACGCTGTAAATAAATAAATACACAAGAACATAAAGTGCAAAAACTAATATAATAAAGCAGTATAAAACCAAACACCAAACACAAGGAATTCCACAGGGCAGGGCCGCTTCAAGAATAAAATATTTTAAGGAATATTTAAAACTAAACAATTACATCTAAGAATAAAACCAAGAAGAGTGCATATAGAATATAGAAGAAAACCAAAGAAGACATGGAAAAGAAATAGAGGAGAAGTCTGTGGACAAGGAGATAGACATAAACCATATATTAGTCGAAATAGGACACCGCAAATAGAGACCCTATAAAGACCCCCCTCTCCCCCTCACTGTTTAACCCCCCTTTCTCAACTCCAACCGGCTGTATACTTATTTAAGAAAACTGCAATAAAGAATTATATATATATAAAAAAAAGAATAAAATTTTAAATATTTTAAAACACTGGGAGATAGGCAATGGAAGATTGTCGTGAAGGGGAACCGGGATGAGGAAGGATTTAATTGCGCGAACCATAAACTAAAGTGCTTCTGAGGTCATTTTGGACAGGGAGTGTCCTACATTCAATCACTGAAAGCACATTGGAATAACCAGGTTTTCAGCTTCCTCCTGAAAATTGCCAGCGAGGGGGCTTGTCTAATCTCTCTGGGGAGTGAGTTCCAGAGCCAGGAGGCCACCACCGAGAAGGCCCTCTCCCTCGTCCCCACAAGTCGCGCTTGCGATGGAGGCGGGAGCAAGAGAAGGGCCTCTCCGGAAGATCAAAGAAGGGGGGCCACTACAGAGAAGGCCCTCTCCCTCGTCCCCACAAGTCGCGCTTGCAATGCAGGTGGGAGCGAGAGAAGGGCCTCTCCGGAAGATTGAAGAGGTCGCATGGGTTCGTCAACTCCCGTTGAACTGCTGACTGGAAGGTTGGCAGTTCAAATCCGATGGTCAGGGTGATCTCCCGCTGTTAGCCCTAGCTCCTGCCAACCTAGCAGTTCAAAAACATGCAAATGTGAGTAAATAGGTATAACCTTGACAGGAAGGCAAAAAGATGCTCCATGCAGTCATGCCGGCCACATGACCAGGAGGTGACAATGCAGGCTCTTTGGTTTGGAAATGGAGAGAGCACCTCCCCCAGAGCCAGAGAATCCAGAAACGAAAGGAGACGCCTTTGCCTTTGTTTGTGTTGTGTGTCTTATTCTATATGATTGCAACAAGGCACTGGATATTTCCCTATATCTGCTGTATATACTGTATTCCTCTCTGAGTCCTTTCGGGGAGAAGGGTGGAATATAAATAAAGTGTATTATTATTATTATTATTATTATTAAACAGCTGGAGCCCATTATTGACCTATAGGTCATCCCTGGTGACCTGAAATGCCCACCTTGAACTTCTGATATAGAACAAGACCATTCCAAATATTCAAGTTTTAAAACTGGCCGGTAAGTAACACTGCTCTCGGGCCCCACAAACACCCCTTGAATCTTTGAAAGCAAATCCCTTTCCCCATGGTTCCTAATCTGCAAAAGGTCGTCTATTACCTTCTGCTTCTTTGATGAACAAAGGCACCTGCTTTTCAGTGTTTCAAGTCAACAAAATGTGTTCCTCCCTGGCTGACCCAGCAGCCTGTAGCTTGGCTTGGCCATAATCCCCAAAACATGGGAGCCTTTCCCTCAAAACCCTCCCCTTCCTCAAAAGTAATTATTCTGGAATAGTTTCTTCTCTGAGCATTCAAGTGCTGCCTCTATTCAGAGTTTATTCAAATCCATAAAGGCGGTGTCACCCTCCTTATGGGCAACTGCATGAGCCATCAATGCAGAAACCGCTCCATAATGATAATAATACTTCATTAATAACCCAGCCTCTCTCCCCGAAGGGACTCAGGGCAATTTCCAAAAGATAACAAAAATGGCAAACATTCAATGCCCATAAATAATCAAACAACAATCAAGGCAAAACATGAAAGAAAATAAACTCAAAATAACTTCTAAAACCACCAAAGCCGAGGGCTAAATTAAATATACATAATAAACACCAATTAAAACACCAAACACTAAAAGCATGATATAATATATTGTCGAAGGCTTTCATGGCCGGAATCACTGGTTGTTGTAGGTTTTTTCGGGCTATATGGCCATGTTCTAGAGGCATTCTCTCCTGACGTTTCGCCTGCATCTATGGCAAGCATCCTCAGAGGTAGTGAGGTCTGTTGGAATTAGGAAAATGGGTTTATATATCTGTGGAATGACCAGGGTGGGACAAAGGACTCTTGTCTGCTGGAGCTAGGTGTGAATGTTTTAACTGACCACCTTGATTAGCATTTGATGGCTTGGCAGTGCCTGGGGGAATCTTTTGTTGAGAGGTGATTAGATGTGCCTGATTGTTTACTCTCTGTTGTTTTGCTGTTGTAAAACCCTAATTAAGGTGGTCAGTTGAAACATTCACCCCTAGCTCCAGCAGACAAGAGTCCTTTGTCCCACCCTGGTCATTCCACAGATATATAAACCCATTTTCCTACTTCCAACAGACCTCACTACCTCTGAGGATGCTTGCCATTGATGCAGGCGAAACGTCAGGAGAAAATGTCTCCAGGGCATGGCCATATAACCCGGAAAAACCTACAACAACCCATGGTATAATAAATGACACCTGCAGGCTAAGGTAAGTAACCAGTGAGTGTCAAGGCGGGGACACATGCGAGGTAGGCATCCAATGGGACCTTACAATGCTCCCCGCCTTCCTTCCTATGCACGCACAGCTTCTGACTAAGCTCTAGGAGTCTCTTGGCATTCAATATCAATTAACGATTCCAAATCAATTAACTCTTTGCCCCTGTCAGGTAAATGAATATCAAAGCCTTTTAATTACTACTTCCTTCACTGCCTTTCCCTTTGCTTCCTTGCGCCTCCTCCTGTCTTCCAAAACCTCTGTCTGCAACACTCTGTGGAACAAATTTAAAATTACCTACACTTCCAATCTGCTTGAAATCATGTATTTTTCCATCTCAGTCTCTGCAGTGTGCTCTCTTCCACGAAAACTTCCTCCCCCTATTTCTCCCTGAGGCATCTCCCAATCAATCAATACATGTGAACCTGTTATCTTTGTCCAAATGTTCAGGTTCCGAAATGCATTTCCCACCTGGCGCTTCCTTCTTATTTCTCAACTTTCCTATTTCGTTTTCTTCTCTATCTTTGCTTCCCCGTAAGTCAGAGTCCGCTCCACTCTATTATGAGAAGGCAGGAGCTTGAAGAGCTTGAAGACGTGGTTGTTCCAGTGTGCCTTCCCAGAATAGGAAACTCCAAGCATCATGTCCCAAATGCACTTTACTAGAGATTTAAGATTGTCTGCACACCGCACCTATCTCCAAAAACCTATCAATTTCACCTGTCATGCCCAGCATTTTTAAAAATTCTGATTTTATTTATTTATTTATTTATTTTATTTTATTTACATCACTTATATCCCGCCCATATCAGCCCGCAGGCGACTCAGGGCGGTCTACATATCAGCACAATTCGATGCCATCAATACAATACAAAAGCAAAAACAGTTAAGTGCAATTATTATTATTATTATTATTATTATTATTATTATTATTATTATTATTATTACGTTTGCAGACAGGACCAAATTGGGAGTGAAAGCCAATACTCCAGAGGACAGGAGCAGGATTCAAAAC